AATTTTAGAGAAATCTCAATTTTTCATACCCCAGTTCTTCAGATTTTACAGATTTTTCAGATTTTTAAAACTTTGATTTTTCAAAAATCTATACATTCGAATTCAAATCTGAAAACATACAAACACACACATATATATATAGATATATATATATATATATATATATATATATTACAGATCGAAATATGTAGATATATATATATATTCGAATTCAAATCTCAAAACACATATATATTCGAATTCAAATCTCAAAACACACAAACACACACACATATATATATATATGTATCAGCGCGATTTGCAAGTTCTCTACAGCTCCGGCCATGGAGGAAGCTAGGATTAGAAGAGAGAGACGAGATAGAAGATGAACAGTTGAAGGAAAGTTGAAGGAGAAGAGTTGAGAAGATGCAGAGAGAGATCGTCGGAGCTTAGGAATGACACAGCTTCGGCGATGGAGGAAGCTAGGGTTAGAAGTGAGAGACGAGAGAGAAGATAAATTTTGTATCTGGATTGTGTATATGTGAGGGTATAATAGTCTGATAAAATATTTAAATAATAAATTTTGTCCTTTATGCAAGATTTTATAATTATGAGGGGGTTTAGAAAGTATAATTTTTTTCTTAGTCCTTCTAACAATGAAAGGAAGGTAAAGGGGGTTTATAGCCAAATTTCCCTTTATATTTCCCAAAGGTAACCGTCGAAATGGGCTTCAACCGTCGAAATACACTTCTATGATCTCTGGACATGGCTTCGCACAATCAGCTTCCACGACGCCATTTCTTCAGTTAGGCCTCCCTCTTGCATTTGAATTCGAACTTTTTAGTAACTGTTGGGCCATATTACCCCGCGCCTTCTGGTTGCTTCCATGTAATGCAGACCCAACGTTAACAATATGAATTGCCACGTGTCCGTTGCTAATTGGAGACTTACATTAATTCCCCAAAACACCCTTCACGAGCCACATGTTAAGCTGCGATTGACCTGTACAAAATATATAGCCAACAATTATGCTTTTAGATAATAAAAAATTCGTGTTTCAAGTGTCAATTAAATTGAAAAATAAAAGCATACAGTAAATTTTTTTTGTACAAAATAAATTTACATAAAAAAAAATTTTTGTTAAAAAAAATTTCATGTCAAAACAAGCGGAACTTAAGAGTCATAGTAAAAAAATAAAAAAAAGAAGAAAAATAAAAAAATGGTAAAAAAACATGATTGATGTACATTTGATGGTCATTTTCTCCAAGCCCGCTTTGTCACACACACATCTCTTGTCCCGCCCGTGCAAGTTTTTCCTGCCCTAATGAGAAAGTGGAGAGAAAGCGAATTTTGCTTTTCCTATCTCGTTCTAGCCGACGAACACCGATTATATTTATTAAATATATTTATATGTATATAATATATAATATAATCTTTTTCATTATAATAAAATTTAAACACTAAAATATTATACTTAATTTTAATTTTTACTTATTTATTTTTCATCTTATATTTTATAATTATCATTAAATATAAACCATTATCTGTAATTTACTATATTATTTATAATTTTTATTAATATTTTTATTTTTTAACATAAGAAATTAACCCATATCTCAACCTATCTCCACCACGCCTTATTTATCCTGCTTCTAATATGATGCATGACCAAGGCTGGCCCTGAGGCGAGGCGACTAAGGCGAGGCCTCGGATTCCCAATTTTGAATAAAATTTAGGGTTCCCATTTAGGAAAGTGTATCATGTCATGTTATTTCATAATTACTTCAATATTAACTCAATTCATTTATTTTCATGTTATTGTATGATGTTATTTTAATTCGTGTCCGATTGATATTTAGTGTGAAAACTTTCACTTTTAGTTAAAAATAACTTAGCAAGTATATGGAGAGATTAAAATTTTTCCCATAAGATGAATGTTATAAAATTTTTCCCATAAGTTGAATGTTATAAAATTTATTTATACTAAACGAAGTTATTTATTGAATGTTTGATTTTAATTCAATTGTATTTTTCTAATTAAAAAAATTGTACCTTATTACTATATATTTTTTACTAGATTAACTCTAAAATAGGTGACAAAAAAATATATATCTTAAATGAAAAAAAGATATTAGTCTTTATTTTACGTACTTTTTTATTCAGTTTGATGAAGTTAAATAAAAGATTAAAAAAATGTGACGACTTCTCTTAGTGAACATTAAAATATATAACTAATAATTCATATTATTGAGTCATGTTATACTTGGATTCATGTTGAAAATAGTCAATCCTAACTTGTTAATTTTATATATTGCTTGAGTTGTGTCGAAAATTCTCATTCTTACGTCCAATTAATTTTAGTTATTATAGCATTGGTAAGCTAAGAAATAAAGATTCGATTCAACTAATTGAAGTTTGACTATTTTATATATATACGTATATATTTGTTATCTAAATTTTGTGAAATTGTAATGCAATAGAAATAAAATTTTATCATTTTTGTTTTATCTAAACATTTTTTGTTTTTTGGTATTGATATATGAAGGACCCAATTTAAAAAAAAATCACTTTAAGCCTCTAATAATTTAGGGCCAACCCTGTGCATGACGGGTATGGATTACTATAAGATTAATGCTTGGGAGCACTAAAAATGGAGCACTAATGAGGTGGCTCTCCCTTTGATGTGATGGTTGTCTCTTGTGTTTTTATTTTTTCTTTTATTTTTTTACATTTTTCAACTCATTAGAGCTATTAGTGATGGAGTTTTTTAGTAGTCACTATCATTGTTGTTACTATAAACTCTAATCTTTATTCTTCTCAAATTATTGGAGAACTGTGACCATCTTTAATTATTGGATAAATTATAAATACACCGCTTGAGGTATTGAAAATTGCATTTTACCTCTTGAGATTTTTAATTTCATAACAAATTGTTCATTTTATTAATAAATCATTAAGTCAATTAACAATTTTTAATGATGTTAAAAATATGTTTCAATTAATAATTTAGGTAATTTTATTATTGTATAGGAGAGCAATTATGTATTTATTTTTTCAGTTAATTCAGTTAAATAAAAAATTCTAATAAGGGGGTATTTGTAATTTTTCAAACCGCATAGGCCAATCCGTATTTTAAGTAAACCTCAGGGTGTATATTTGTAATTTACCCTTAATTTTATTTGAGAAATTTTACTACACACCCCTTGAAAATTGTATATCATATGCACTTCTAATTATGTCATTTTTTTTAGTTATAATAAAGTTTTTTTTCTTCAATTATGATAATATTTTAGTTATGACCCATGAAATCTTTAATTATGTCTCATATGGTGTTTGATTATTATTTTTTTAAAAAAATTATGACTCAAAAAGTATAAAGTTATACTATTTTTTTTAATTATAAAATACATATGCTACACAATCTTTTTCTTAATGACATTTTTTATCAAACACTATTAAAAAACGTCACTAATTGTTAATTTCAAATATAGTTTGAAAATTTTGTCACAAAAATGTCATTAATTATAAATTTTAGCGACAGTTTAAAAAAAATCACAAAAAATGTCACTTATTTATAACTTTCAGCAGTAGTTTAAAAAATTGATCATAGAAAAAGTCATCAATTTTAAGTTTTGATGATAATTTATAAAAATTATGACCAAAAAAAGATATTAATTGTCAAATTTTAACAATATATATAAAACATAATTTTATTAGGATTTATTTTTAATAAAATCTAATGAAAATTAAACCATACAATCAAAATGTATTGATAGTTTATCCTTATTCTTCTCAAATATTAAGACATATTGCTATCCTTTCTGTGGTTAAAAAAAAATAAAATAAATAAATAAAAAAAAAATTTATTGGGCACGTGACGAATACTATATTTAGGGTTGGTTTGGGATGTTCTAAAAAAGTCCACTTTTTAACTTATTGGCTTATATGAGTTGGGTTTGGATTGGGTTTGATGTGATGTGTTAGAGAATTGATGCGATTTAAATAGGATAGTAACTTAAATAGGATAGTGACTTTTTGACTTTTTGTATTATTTAGTAGATGCCAAACTTGGCCTTATTAGTAGCAATTAAGAAAACGACAGTGTAGCTGCGGAGGGAGAAGCCCACCAGCTGCTTCGTCAGCTCAGCCCGCCAATGCAGACCGTCTCCTATCCACCTTCCGATTCTTTCCTACTATTCAAATTTTTCTTCAATTTTACAGTTTATATATGTATTTGGCAAATGCTAAAGTTTGTTTAATATTTAGAATTCAAGTTAAATATATATATATATAATATTAAAAAATGTATTAATTAAAATAAAATGGTTTAATTTCTCTTAAATTTAAATTTGAATTTGAGGGGAACATAAAGCTCACCATAGTCTTTTGTAGGATTCTCAGTATATCATCAATGAAAAAAATTAAATTAATCTAATAATTATAATATTTTTATTTTATAATATTTATTTTCACAAAAACAGATGATAAGTATATTGAGACAAACATAATAAAATAAAAATGTTATGATAATTAAATGAATTTAATTTTGTTTGATGAATAATTTATGCTGAACCTTCTACAAAATAAATAATTCAAATTATTAAAAACTCATAGCGTAGACTGAAACAAATACGAAACACGACACAACATAACTCACAACTGATCTAAAAATAAAAAAAAACTCAAATGACTGAACATTCATACTGCGTTCACTGTAAAACTCAATTTCACAAAACCCGAGTTTAGATTCATTTTTTTGCTCAAGTTGCTCACGGATCACAGGCTGTTCAAACTTGTCTCAAGTTTATATTTAAAAATGTTTCGTGTTGTCCACATTTTTTTTTTCCTTTTTCTCATGCTGAAGCACTTGTTAGCTACCAATTTTTCATACCTAACCTAACTTACCTGTATATCTATATATTAATATATATTCATATGGGCATGTTACATTCCAACTTTACACGTCACTCTGACAAACCACACTGCCCCATTAAAATTGCCTCGTCAAAAAATTTGATTTTGTGCAAAACGAGAGAGAGGAGAGGAGTTTCTTGTTTTCATTTTCCTATTTATAAATGGATAAATTCTAATCACCAAAACTTCAAAGCTTGCAAACTCTTCTTTCCCTCCCTCTCTCATCTTGCATTGTTTGCAGCCTAGTGGCTCAAAGATCTGTTTGGTTTCCAGAGAAAAACTGGGTCTACCATTGTAACGTTTACAATCTTTATTCCCAACTTCTCTGGAAATCTAAATCGAGCGTTTACATTTTTTGTACTCTACTCTTAAATTTTGGCCATAAAAATCTTTTGTTCTTCAAGTGTTTGAGGTTTTGATTAGAAGAAGTGATTAAGGAACTTGAGTGAGTGAGTGTTCATTGAATGCTAACAGTAGCATAATAGCTCTCATGGAAGGTGAGAAAGTTGTGGAGCTGAAGGACCATAGCAATGAAGTGGTGGTCTCCATTTTGGGTATTGAAGAAACTTTGAGGACAGACAAGCAAAGTGAGGGTTTTAAGGGTTTCACATCATTAGAATCTGAATCACCCTCTTATTCAAAAAACATTACCCCAATTGGGTCTTCTCCTAATTCTGGGTTAACGGAGCTTCAAAGTCTCAAAGCCAGAGTCCAAATATCCACACTTTCAAGCTCTTCTTCTCCAGAGATAACTAAGTCAAGTCCTACCCCAAACAAGCCTCCAAAAATCCCAGAAGAAGCTAGTAGTATTACTCCACGAAGGTCACTTGCACAGTCTGCTTATTTCAAGCCGAAATCAAGATTATTGGAGCCATCTTATCCTAGCTATTCGCATTTGGTTGAAGAGAATAGCCAATTGTCACATTCAAGCTCACCTTATAGGAATTCGCCTCTCAAAACCAAAGCCAGTACTCCTAAAGAAAATGTCAGGTCAACCCCAATTACTCCAAGAACACCGCTGCTTCCTTCACCAGGAGAGGAGGAGGAGGATGATGAAGATGTCTATAAGACTTCAAATCTTAAATTCGATGAGAAAGTGGGCAAGAAATTGAAGGTCATGGTTTTACTGGAGTGGATTGCATTTGTATGCATAATGGTTGTTTTAATTGCTAGCTTAACTGTTGACAAATTGCAGCATCATACAGTTTGGAGTTTGGAAATTTGGAAATGGGGTGTGCTGGTATTGGTAATTTTTTGTGGCCGATTGTTTACCGAATGGTTTATCAATGTTATAGTTTTCTTGATTGAAAGGAACTTTCTCCTTAAGAAGAAGGTTCTGTATTTTGTTTATGGCTTGAAAAAGAGTGTTCGGCTTTTCATTTGGTTGGGTTTGGTTCTTCTGGCTTGGGTTCTGTTGATAAACCGGGGGGTCAAGCGATCAAGGAAAACTACCAGAATTTTGAATTATATCACAAGGGCTTTGGCATCTAGTCTTATTGGGGCAAGTATATGGATGCTGAAGACTTTACTCATAAAGCTATTAGCTTCTTCTTTTCATGTCACAAGATTCTTTGACAGGATTCAAGAATCTATATTTCATCAGTATGTTCTTCAGAGCCTTTCAGGGCCTCCTTTGATGGAATATGCAGAAAGGGTTGGCAGTGCAAGGAGTGGTGGCCAATTGAGTTTCAAGAATCTGAAGAACGGAAAACAAATGGAGAAAGAAGAGGTGATTGATGTAGAGAAGCTTTATAAGATGAAACAAGAGAAGATTTCTGCGTGGACCATGAGAGGGTTGATTACAGTGATTCAGGGTTCAGGGCTGTCAACCATTTCCGATGCACTCGAGGAGAGTGTTGATGATGATGGCATTGAGCAAAAAGATAAGGAGATTACTAGTGAGTGGGAAGCAAAGGCCGCTGCTTTTCGAATTTTTAAAAATGTAGCAAAGCCAGGTCACAAGTAGGAATATTGCATTTTGAATGTTTACATGCTTTTAGTATGTTTGCTTGTTCAGGAATCATCTTAATTGTCTCATTGTTTTCATCTTTATACCATGTAGGTATATTGATGAGGAGGACCTCTTGCCTTTCATGAAAAAGGAGGAAGTGGATAACATGCTTCCAATGTTTGAGGGGGCAGCAGCGACCGGAAAAATTAAGAAATCATCTTTAAGGAATTGGGTGGTAAGATCTCTGTTTGTTTGTTCATTGAATATTAGGTTCCATTCAAGTTTTCCTTTTTCTTTTTCTTCTATAATTTACTTTGTGAATTAGTAAATAGAATTTCATCTTTCCTCTCATCCATAAAATTTAGATATGGTTTGGACTTGTATTCTCTCTGAGTGAAACAAAAATGTGAACAAAGCTGCATAACAATAGAACATTGTCATAAAAACGAATCACAATATTGACCAAAGCTACATTTTAGATGTGTATTTACTTGTTGGAAAGTTTAGTCCAATAACCAATCCTTCACAAAGTGTTTGGGGTTTAACACTAGAGTCCGTTATTTGCAAGGTTAAGGCATAAAAGAGGCCTTTACAAACTCCATTCATTGCGCAATACATTGCTCATTAATTGGTCAATCAATCAAGTCTCAGCTCCAAAAAACATAAATCAAGAGTAACTTTTAGATCAAAAGAAATCACAAGTTTCTTTTGTTACGGATCGGGGGCACACCAGGGAACTCAAACAAGCAATAACACACAAGATTTAACGTGGTTCGGCAAGTCGCCTACGTCCACGGGCAGCGGATTCACTATATTGAACAAAATGGTAAGAATTACAACACTCTTGTAATTCTCTCTCTCTTTGCTCTCAACTCACACCTCTCAGCTCCAAATCTAATATCTATATCCTCTCCCTCCCGTCTCTATTTATACACAAAGGAGTAGGTGGGAGAGCCCTCATTCTTTGACTTTTGACATGGTTGGTGGCCTTCCATTGTTGACATGAGGTTGGTGGCCTTCCATTGTTGACATGAGGTTGGTGGCCTTCCATTGTTGACATGAGGTTGGTGGCCTTCCATTGTTGACATGAGGTTGGTGGCCTTCCATTGTTGACATGAGGTTGGTGGCCTTCCATTGTTGACATGAGGTTGGTGGCCTTCCATTGTTGACATGAGGTTGGTGGCCTTCCATTGTTGACATGAGGATCACCCCTTTCACATGGGGTGACCTCCAGAATCTGTAGCCAATTCAACAAATCTCCACCTTGGCGAGGATTCTCTTATCCAACATAGTGATCGATCAACCCTGCCATGCACCCGAAGGTGCTCAGTTCCGAGAGATGTTGACCAAGTCCAAACAATGTTGGAACTTGATCCCAGAAACTACCTTTGTGAGCATATCGGCCGGATTATCTGCAGTACCAATATTAAAAATGATCTAGAGGTGATCAAATTAAGAAAATGACTTTAGGGTTTGCAAAATGTTCAATTGGTCTAACCTCTAAAAAAAATTAGTAAATATAATTAATTAATATTTACTGAAATTATTTTAAAGGTTATACCTAGCAACGTGTAGGATCGAATTGAAGATTGGAGTCATTGATTTAATTTTGATTGATTGAATTCTACAAAATAGATAAGGTAGTTGATTTTACATAATATATATGAGATAATTGGTAAATTGAAAAACTAAAATTATGAAGTTCACCAAGACGAAATATATTTATATTTTATCGTAAATATAATTATTATATGAGAACTAATTAATGTTAAATAAATTTTCTTTTAAAACAAAGTTTTTGCTATAATTTAATTTTAAAAATAATTTTTAATTATTTATTTTAACCACAGGGTATTATGCTAGTATATTGCTGAAAATAAATGCTTCGAAATATAAATCTATGTTAAACTACTCCTAAGATAAGGAAAATGACAAGAAATATTGAAATCAATTGTCTTTGATTTAAGTTCTGGATCTTTTACAATGTAGCCATTAATGGCTATTTATAGAAGAAAAAATACAGCAATAACTACTTAGTAACTACCCATTTCTTCCATCTTCATTCTTGTCTTGCCATGTGTCCTTCCACTCATCCACTTTGTCCTCCCACTCATCCACTTTGTCCTTCATATTCTCCATTATCTCTATAACTTCTTTTAACTTCCAAATGAATAAGAGGATGCCACGTGTCCTGCAATTATATAAATAATAAATAACAATAAAAATTACAGATTTATGGTGCTAACAGAATCGTTCGAATTATTAAAATGGGACCTAAAAATAGACTCATGAAACAGACTGAAAGATAAAATCTTGATCTCTAACTGGAGACAAGCTGAATCCATTGAGAAAATGTTGCTATGCTTCGTTGTTCCACCGTAGTGTAATGTAATCATTCACCCAAAAAATAATAAAAGAAAAGGAAAATGCAATGAATAGTCTTTTTGAACCCTGATTTTCAACCATCTGATGTAGTTGAGTTTGCCACTATGTATATTTTTATATGGGAGGTTAGAGAAGGTTAATCTTATAATAAAAATAATGACTTCTTTTGCATTATTAGGATTTTTATTGTAGGGCAAATTATACTAACAGCTTTTATAGTTTATGATTTGTGTTATTTTAATTTTTAATTTTTTAATTGTAATATATTTAATTTTAAAATTTGAATCTTATTCTAAATAAGGACAATGAAAGATACCATTACTTAATTTCAAAAGTAAAATCGTGAATTTGATAAAATATAAATTAATTTGACAAAAATAAATGTCAAAACAATATTTTTAAATTTTTAAAAATTATTTCTATCCACTAAAGATAAAATTATGTAAAATTGATAAAGGCATTTATTTATTTATTTTACTAGATTTTGTTATGTGTTTGGATGATGGTCATGTAATGGGTGGTCATTTTTATTTTCATTAAATTAGTTTCTATTTTTTCAAAAGTCAAATATGACGATAACTTTAATATCATTATTAAACCAATTTAGTAAATCAAAAAAATCCAAAACTAAGAACATTTTATATATTAAATATATCAATTACACATTAAAAGTCTAACAACCACCCATTACATGATCATTATCAAAACACATAATAAAAATTAATTTGATAAATAAATAAATAAATAAATATCTAAATGATTTATCAATTTTACATAATTTGATCTTTGGTGAGTAGAAATTATTTTTAAAAATTCAAAAATATTTTTTTGATATTTATTTTTGTCAATTTAATTTATATTTTATCAAATTAACAAATTTGTCCTTGAAATTGAGCAATGGTATCTTCAATTGTCGGATCAGATGTTTCACAATTGAAAAGTTAGGGATCAAAGTGACATGACCCCAAACTATAGGGACTGTTAGTATAATTCACCCAAAAATAAAAACACTTAACACTATCATGTGATTCTCTTTTTTGCGGCAATCCCTTTTTTTTTTTTTTTTTTTTTTTTTTGTTTTTTTTTTGGGTTTTAATTTTTGTCAAACTAGTTTCTATTTTTTGAAGAAAAAAATAGGCTAAAACCTCAACCAAACGTAGTGTTTCTAGATGATCCTTATTGAGCGTAGTCTCTTAACATAATAATAAAAGGGGTAAATGTTTGCATGGCTTTTTGGCTGAAATGAAGTATATGCCTTCTCCTTTTGGTTAAAAAACATGAGCAAAGAACCAAGAAACACCATTTTTTTGTATCCACTTCATATAAATGGATAGAAAGCTGTGGTGGGCTGGGATTTTTTTAATTTTTTGCTCTAATGAATTAGTCTTTGCCTGCAGGTGAATGTCTACAATGAACGGAAAGTACTGGCTCATTCCCTGAATGATGCTAAAACAGCCATTGAGGAGCTGAACAAAATTTCATCAGGAATTATACTTGTGGTAATCATTATTGTGTGGTTACTTTTGATGGGATTTGCAACAACCGAAGTGCTTCTTTTTATTGGATCTCAGCTTTTACTCTTGGCATTTATGTTTGGCAACACCTGTAAGACTGTATTTGAAGCCATCATATTTGTATTTGTGATGCACCCGTTTGATATAGGGGATCGTTGTGTCATTGATGGGGTACAGGTAACTAACTCCAGCCTAGAATACTTGTGTTTATAGTTTTAAGGTTAATTTGGTTAATTTATCCTAGTATATTGAAATTTCACAGATGATCGTTGAAGAGGTGAACATTTTGACCACAATCTTCTTGAGATATGACAATGAGAAGATAATCTATCCGAATTCAGTTTTGGCTACCAAACCAATCAGCAATTTTTATCGAAGTCCAGAGATGAGTGATTCTGTGGAGTTTTCTGTTGATGTTTCAACTTCAGCTGAGAGTATTATGGGTCTAAAAGCTAAAATAAAAGCGTATGTAAACTCCATTCTTTTGGGTCTCTTAAATGTCTACTTGTACAACAATGAAACTAAACTTAATGACTGAAATATATCAATGTCATCATCTTCATAAGCTGTTTTACCTCTCAAAGTCACTTGATCATGAGGTATTATTACAGAGGCAGCTATATTAACATGTAGTCTGTTGAAGCCAGACTTTCAATTTTTCAAACTTCATTCTCATCCCTTTTTGTGTTTCCTTCTATTATTACTATTGTTATGTTTGTTGTTATTATTATTAATGTTTTCATTTTATTGTCATGGTGGTTAACATTTTTGTTGTTGTTGTTGTTGTTTAATGAGAGTTTGACAAAAAAGAAAAAAAAAGCAGGAATTTAGTGTATATAAATTGATGGTTCTACATTAACCTGCTAGCATTCACATGTTCCCTTTAAAAATGATGAAAACAATTTTAAAATTCATATTTTTGTTAGAGTGGGTAACGTTTTTCTTTTTCCTTGCTTTTATATTGTTTTTCCAATTAGATACTATCTTAAATAAACAATTTTGTGGGTACTTTCAGGTACTTAGAGAGCAAGCCTCAGCATTGGCGTCCAAACCACAGTGTGCAAGTTAAGGAGATTGAGGATGTTAACAAGATGAAAATGGGTCTCTACGTTACTCATACCATAAACTTTCAGAATTATGGGGAGAAGAGCAACCGACGATCTGAGCTAGTATTTGAACTAAAGAAAATCTTTGAGGAGCTTGGTATCAAATATCATCTTCTTCCTCAAGAAGTTCATGTCAGCTATGTTGAGTCTAAAGGCCCAACATTTACAAATGCTTCACGGTGATGAGCATTGTGCTAGGATGAGAATATTCCTACTCTCTCTGGCAAGTATGTGCCTTCACTCTGTACTTCTAGACTTCAGGTTATTCAATCAAGCTCTACTTGCTAAAAAAATGTTGGTGACTTGTGACTTGAAACCTTCTTGTTGCAAAATTTACTCCCTAAATGCTCTTCATCCTAATCCTCAATCATCTTAGGCATGGAAAATCCTACTTTAGGGCTGTAATCTTATAAAGCTAGATTCTAAATAGTGTGTTGGCAATGGCAACAACATTCAAATGTATGAGGATAGATAGATCCCAGGTGTAGACAAACCTCTGCATAAAGAATATCCTCTTCCCTGGAGGTGGTATTCAAATTTATTTCTTTTCTTTTTCTTTTCAAATTTTTTTTTTTTGGTTCCTGCTGCTATCTCATATTGCTCTCAACATCATAGTTATTCCTCTCCTCAGACCACAAGAAAATAAAATCATTTGGTCTACGAAGTCAGGTTATGAATATCTATGCTGTATTCAGTCTGGTTCTCCATGTCACAGTCTTTCTCAGCTTAGGACTTCTCAATCTTGGGCTTTGATTTGGGGACTTAATATTCACGAGTCATGACCCAAACCCACCCCTAGAGGTTTAGGCCATGACCTACCAATAATCCCAGATTACCCGGCCTCAAAGACAGAACACATAATTAATAATAGTAAACGGGGCTTTGAGGAAGTAATAATAAAAATATATAATTATGTCCATTGAGCGGTGCATACATGCAAATTTCATAAGTATTTAAAACTTAGAACTTATTCCGTGATGACCACCTATACAAAACACATAACAAAGATACACATTGAAGCGCACGTACAAAACAAATATTGTATCTTAAGTCAATTCTCTTACGTGTGTTTCTAACTTATTCCGTGACTAAGGATGTCTAAACAATGCCTAAGAATGCCTAAAAGAGTATGAGGATGTAAATATATGCACATGTAAGTGTTTGTCAAAAATTGTTGAAAATAGGGTTTTCGCTCGAGCGCACCTTTGGTCGCTCGAGCGGTGTTGCTTAAGTGCAAAAGTACTGGATGGTGTCAAAGTAGGCTCGAGCGGTGACTTGGTTGCTTGAGTCAACTACAAAGGCCTGCAAAAATACTGGGAGCATGCAAAGTGCGCTCGAGCTACAGATTCATCGCTCTAGCGAAGTTGACGATTTCTAAGTTTTCTAGAATTGCATTCGGAGTTCAAAAATATAGGTTTCAAGTCCATAGCTTGCACGGTTAATAAACCATAGTCCCAAAATCTCTTTCAATTTTCCAAAACAAAACCCATAACTCTTCAATCTTGCCTTGCATGTAATGAATTCAACTCTTTTCCTTTCAAAACATGATCACATGAGAAGAGGAGTGTAAAATCATGAAGAATCAATCCTTCAAGTTAACATCTATAAACTCCATGCATGTATGAATTTTTAGAAAATCAAGCTTGAAGATGGAGAGATATGCATGCATGTCCAATTTCAACCCAATTCTACAAAATTCAAAATGATTCTAGCATTTTCCTCTCAAATTCATGTAAATGACCCTACAAATTTTATGAATTCAACTTCTACATAGATTATTTACTAAGATTATGGGTAATAGTCTTACCTAGAGCTTGAATTTAGAAGTTGGAACCTTAATCCCTTCAATTCTCCTTCAATTCTCCTTCAATCTCTACAATTCTACACACACTCTCTCTCTACAAGTTGTGCTCTCTCTCTCGCTCTAGAATTTCAGCCACACTTGATGCAAAAATATGAGTTCAAAACATGTTTATAGCATATATATATATATAGGTAGGTAGATTAAGTTAGGTTAATTAAGTGGAATTAAGGCCAATTAATCTAGCTTAAGCCTAATTAATCCTAATAAAGTCTAATCAATTTATTCCGAATCAAATTTTAATCAAACTTGCTATATGATTCTAAATATTTTAATTAGCCTATTGAACTAATCAATTTTGGTTTTTGAATCTGTTTGGGCTTTCAATTTCTGATTCAAAGTTGGTATTTTAATAGGTATTCCATAAATAAATAGATAAACACAAATTAAACACATAATCATGCAATTATGCTTGATAAAATAATATGCAAAAATAACATGTATGTCGGGGTTGTCACATCGTGAGTGTTGTTATCTTTTTATTGAAGTGCATTAGAGGCATTCTTAAGGTAGTGTTTGGTTCATTAGAACGTGTGGCTATCGGTGGAGGATAGCATTGCCGTATGTTAGAAATTGCATGTGGATTTGGCAAATTGAAATTGTTCATATCATGGAGCATGTAATGGATTTTTGGAATTTGAAACCATATGTTTGGAAAGAGGTTTTGGAAATTCCCGTATTATGTTTTGGAACGTTTGCATCATTTTGGAAAATAATATTTTGAATCACATGTATTGTGCTATTGAAAAAAGGTAAATAAAGTGGTAAATGCTATGAGGGGGTGTTAAAGCAGAATTAAGTTGGCCTGTGTGTCCATGGTGAAAGACCTAAACCTGCGCAGTAGGTGTCGAGCCTTCTGGTTAGCACCGGTAAAAATGACCTTGTGACTTATATAGTTACTTGTATGAACACTAGCCTTGAGATTTACCCATCTTATTTATTGTCGTTTTGGCTTGAAAGGATGTTTTGGAAAAAGGTTTTAGCAATGCGTTTGTCGTTGTTTAGTGATGTATTCGCATTTGATTTCAATGTATTTGCTAGTTGGTATTGAAATGCCTAGATTGGTTTTTGGAAATAGATTTTATATCAAATAGATGTTTTGAACTCGGAAAACGTTTTGATTAAACGTAAGGTTTTAGTAATTGGAAAGAAAAGATTTTGTTGCGAAATCAGATGGATTTAAAAATGTATTTGGGCATATTGTATATATGCATTGCATCATAATCATTTATACTGGTGGAGCATGTTTAGTTTTTGAAATATTCTCTACTGGGCTGTTAAAATTTACCATCACCTACCACACACTCACTTACTACACTCACCTACACTCACCTACTCCTCATCTACCACCACCTACTCCACTACACCTACATCTATATAAGGAACCATTTGTAATAGACAGACACAACATACATAAATACATCAATCAATAATACATACAATTATTCTCTCTCTATCAATTTATTTTACATGGTATCAGAGCAGGTTTAGAACCTACTTTCGGCTGCAAAATGGATCCTCTATTGGTTTCCTATATCTAGCTATCACCACTTCTTTCAAGGACTAGTCCCTTCATTGACTTCCTACTTTCGTTGATTTTCTCTCTTTGCTCTGGGCTTTATGGAAGGAAGAAATGCCTTTTTCTTTAATTTATTTTATTTTATTTCAAATGAATCTTTGCGGCTAGAGGCTATTTCTTGGCATATGTCTCTTGATGCTCCTTTACAAATAACGATCTTGATTTAAACCCAACCCATTTATTGCTTTTGAATCCGGAAAATCACATCTGTAGCGGTCGTTCTTCTTCCCTTTCATGTTTGGTTTTGCTTTTGGGGTCGATATCATGGGTTCCTGGGGTCAACACCACCTTGCTGCCCTACTCTTGGTGTCTCTACTGGTTTTTGGGGTTGACACCAGTCTTCATGTGGTCGACATCACCTCGCTGCTGTGTTTTAGGTGTTGTTGTTTTTTGGGGTCGACGTCTGCTGCAAACATAAGTGTCTCAGCATTTCTTCTTGAAGGTTGATATCACTGCCTTGGGGGTTGACCCCTACGACTTATTTCCAAAATTTTGGGTTTGGTTTGGGCCATACTTTTGGAGGTTTTTGACTTATTCTTTTCATCGATTTTAGGGCTATTGTTCTACCACTATAAATAGAATTCAAACACACTTTCCTCATTCATTTCTTCTCTCTCTCTCTCTCTCTCTGTGAGCCGTGAATCTCTCCCTTTCTCTCTAAACTCAACTTTTCTCACATAGATCTCTAGATCTACTCGGTTAGAGACATCTTTTTACCTTGGTCCTTTGAAAAAGGTTGTAGATTTTCTTTTGATTCAAGAGCTTCGTGTTTTCGTCGACGTTGGCCTTTGGGGCTTTTTGGCTTTCTCCTCTTCCGAAGTTGAGATAGGGTCTATTTCTTTAACTTAATATGAGTTCGGTAGCATATTTGTGGCGTATTGTGTTATTTATATTTGGTAGTCATTTGGTTGATTTTGAAATGTTATTTTGGGTTTGAGGGTTTTGTGAAATTTGGAGGTATTTGGGCTATAGTTATGCTACTACAGTTATTTTTGGTATACAAATTGCATATGAATTTCTAAAAGTGGAAATGTCCAAATTTGTAGAAAAACACTAAATGATATTGTTTTGGGAGTTGGATTGATTTTTGGTATATGGTTTGGTTGGAAAGAGATGGAAAGGAAATGGTTGTGAGATTTTGAAAAGGGGTGTTGTTACTCTTTTGAAAAAAATATATCTATGTTGTTATTTATTAATTATTGCATTATCGGTGGAGGATAGCATTGCCGTATGTTAGAAATTGCATGTGGATTTGGCAAATTGAAATCGTTCATATCATGGAGCATGTAATGGATTTTTGGAATTTGAAACCATATGTTTGGAAAGAGGTTTTGGAAATTCTTGTATTATGTTTTGGAACGTTTGCATCATTTTGGAAAATAATATTTTGAATCACATGTATTGGTGCTGTTTGGTGTAGCTGTTAAAATAATTATAGCTTAACAGATTATAGATTATGACTTTAATCAGAAGCTATTAATCTGTTTGGTATAGCTGTTGGATTATAGATTTAAGTTGCTGAGTAGTATTTGTTAAATAAGCTGTGAAGTAGCTTTTTCAATTAATTTTTATTTTTTATTATTCACTATTTGTCTACATTTCTCATAAAAAAATAATAATATTTTATAGTCCATTTGGGTCTTTTTTATTTTTTAAAAAAATAAAAAATAAAAAATTTTAAGAGTATAATCATAAATTAACATGTCCACAGCAGAAGCTGATAATCAGAAGCAAGTGGTGAGCAGCTTTTCAGAATCAGCTTTTTTGACTTAAAATAAGTTGTTAGAATTAGAAGCTGTTTGAAATAAGTTTAACCAAACAGTCCAAAATAATTTTTTAAAAGCCAGAAGCCATAAGTTGACTCAAAAAAGCCCCACCAAACACCCCCATTGTGCTATTGAAAAAAGGTAAATAAAGTGGTAAATGCTATGAGGGGGTGTTAAAGCAGAATTAAGTTGACCTGTGTGTCCATGGTGAAAGACCTAAACCTGCGCGGTAGGTGTCGAGCCTTTTGGTTAGCACCGGTAAAAATGACCTTGTGACTTATATAGTTACTTGTATGAACACTAGCCTTGAGATTTACCCATCTAATTTATTGTCGTTTTGGCTTGAAA